TTGAATTAACTGTGCTATAGAATGAAAACCAAGGATATTGGTACTTACAATAACTTCTTAATATTAATAAGGTAGTTCAAACGAATTGCTGCTTATATCTATATTATATATAGATGGTCAAAGATAGGCTAAGGGTTAAGACGGGATAAGGATAAGGCGTAGATAGGGCTTAGAATCAAGAAGGCAAATTTGTGGTACGAAAAGACAAGAACCGTAAAAGTCTGGGTGGTAATAATTCTATCACAAAACCGTGGTTGTGTGGATATTTAATTATTCACCTATTGTTTTAAATCTAATTTAATTGTAACACATCTGAAGTGTACTTATATAATAACGATTTCCTTATCTTCCACAACGATTTACCAGTTGTAATAATATATAACGTTATAATTCCAGAGCCGTGTGGGGAAGGAACATATCGGAATGATGCTATGACAAGCTGTGAGACATGTGACGCTGGATGGAAACCAAACACTAACAAAACTGCCTGTGGTAAGATAAATTTAAATCTTATATTATTGTTATGTTTTAAATTTAATTTAACTGTGCTACAGAATGGTAAATTGTATATAGTATTTGAGACTTGGACCCCTGAGCAAACGATAGTATAGTAATATTTGAGGTTGCTTGAAAGGGTTCGGGTTGGGACAGGAAAACTAAATCGCGGAACTGCGGAAGAGAACATAAGAAACCGTCAAAATAACCCTTATTAATCAGTTTAACGTTATTTAATATGACATATCGACAGTGAGCTGTACGGGACTGAAGGCTGAGTGGAGAACTGCGATCAGAACAACAACACAGTTCCCAGTAGTCCCGGGAACCGTGGTGGAAGTGAATTGTATTGAATCCAGAGCTCTCAATAAAGGGAGCAGCGAGGTGACCTGCACCTCAGGAACGGAATTTATTTTCGATTTTAATGAACCCGAGTGTATAAATACAGGTATAATTGTAAAAGCGGATATGCTAAATGACCATAGCATCACTACAAAAGGATAACTAAATTCTTCATATAACCAGGGTAGTATCAGCATAACCGAAGAAAGGGGGTAAAATAATGTCGTAAGGGGGAGAGTTGGTTAATGGTTATATTACTATAGAAAACTGATTTAATTTAATGTTACAGTTGATGGGCTATGACAAATAGCTTAGATGATACTGCAATCTAACTTAGATATCCAAATAAGAAAATGTATGTTTGAGTTTTCTGGGTGGAAAAGTATGACAGCAGAAACCCAGAACCCATAAGTCCCCAGAAAAGTTATCGAGGTAACCTGCTCTTACATCTCAACACAACAGCATTTGACAAAGCAAAATAAAATGTAAAATCAATTTAAATTCAAAAATTTAACAAAGAATGCATTTTCATTAAAACATAGTAAAACACTTTGTTGCATAAATACATTAAATTTAAACTAAAACACTTAATACAATCGTGAGATGTACGTAGAATCCAGCTCAATGTTACAACATAAACCCTTGATGATATAGTTTAGTAAATATTAGAAACTAACCGCACATCCGGTGATTTCCATTTCAAATGACAAAAACCAGAAGATCTTAATAAGGTCTAATGATAATATACTTCTATCTCAAGTTATTAATTAACAACCCCAGGAACAATGACGATGATGTATAAAGTCTATACGAATGTCGACAGAATAGAGATGAACAGGAAGAAACTGAGAGAATATCAGCTCCAATTAATTTATGAGAATTCAAGGTCAGTAAGAAAAATGTCCACTTAAAGTGTTTGTTTTTTTTCATCATATACTGCAACACTCCTATTGTGTTGAATTCCCAAAATTCAATTGCTGTTTAATATTATCTAAATTAATTTCAATTTAATTGTGACCAAATTTTACATTTCGAACATGAACTGTGCTGATCACCATAAATTACATGTACAATACCAGAAATAATGTGTCACTTGGCAATAAAATCACCATTTCAGAATACGGATTACAGAAACGAACTTCATGGCATTGATAAGTGATGAATACCCTGAAAAAAGACACATAACTCCATCACTGTGAGACACATTTGTGTTTTTAAACATTCATAAACATTATTCAATGTTAAATACATATTATTTGTAAATATGTATTTAACATTAAATTAAATTCAAAATCTATTCAAAGATTTAACAAAGGTTTGATGTATTGCTATTATATCATATTATAACAATTTATTTCAGACCCTTACTCAGTAGGAACAAACCTTTCAACTGCAAAGATGTGAATCCTTTGTTGACCATGTTATGAGCTGTGAGCAGTAAGTACAAAAAGCGGAGGATTACTCTATTCGTCGAAATCTTTCAAAAAACTGCTCAATCAATATCCAAAAAATTTTAACAATATTAAGTTATTAGGCTCATATTAATACTTCTCTATGGCGGCCGAGATGACTCACCAAAATTTTCACTGAAAATTTTGAATTAAAAAATTAATTATACAATTAATCGCAAAATAAAAACGATTTTGAATTTGATTTGTAAAATGATTTTAAAATTTAAATAAAAAACGATTTTCATATTGAAGTTGAAAACGATTCTCATTTTTAAAACGATTTTGAGTTTGATTTTGAAAACGATATTGATTTTGATTTTGAGTTTGAAAACGATATTGGTTTTGATTTTAAAAAAGATATTGATTTTGATTTTAAAAACGATATTGATTTTGATTTTAAAAACGATATTAATTAATTTTTTAATTCAAAATTTTCAGTGAAAATTTTGGTGAGCCATCTCGGCCGCCATACTTCTCATACAAATTTACAACAAAGTCTTCATGTTATGTATCCTGAGTTTGGACAGGATAATATTACCCGCTTAAAATATTTCCATCGCGATACATAATACTCAATAAATGTAATAGATTCGTAGTTAAGTGTTGTAATTAGTTTTGAACTGCTGAAGTTTATACAGCCCTAATATATAACAACCTTAGAAAAGCAAACTTATTTGCCTTCGTTTTTAAACCTACTTTCAGCGTTTATCAGCAGCTACAATTAAGGTACGTACCTATAATTAATAGTTTTCTCACATATTTACCAATTTTGTCAGCATGAATAAGAAGTTGTTACAGGGTGGCCCATAAGTGACTACCCACACGCAACCTCTTAATAACTCACGTAATTCGTCTCCAAATTGCACCAAAATTTCAGAGATTATAGATATGGGTCAAACTTAGATTTCCTGAAAGTTTCGTAAGCCACGCCCAATTACAGTGGGCGTGGCGTGACACTCCCTCTTTTTCACTATTGTCTTCATAAAATGAGAACGCTTTAAGCTAAGAACTCAAAATTTTTTGCACACATTTGGCTTGATAATTGAAAACTTTTCCAAAAGTTTCAAGTTCATTAGTTTAAATATGGCTGAGTTATGACCATTTTCAAATCCATCGGATATGTGATCCGAGCACTCAGTCAGTGATATTTGCACTCAATTAGTGATCTCGTCACCCAATCTGATCAAGAGTAAGGCGTTAGCGTGTATTAATGAGGTTCATTAGGCTTTGATTGGATACCGATGATGACTTTGCTAGAAAGGGAAACACAAATTTTTAGGATAAAAACCAGATCGTGACCTTTTCAGGAAAAGCCGTTCTCTCCACCACTTCATCCGGTCTAGTAGAGCCCCAGTGAATTGCATTCTGGGAGTTGACATATCCGTTTATATGGCCTTGTCGCTGTACCAGATTTCGTCCTCAAAGTAGGGATCCACATTGTGCTTGGACAGGAATGTGTTGGCGAAATCTATCCTCGATTGGAAATCACGGTCCAAAAGTTTGTGTTTCTTTGTGATTCGGTAGGCCCGGTTAGAAAGGTCTTGCTTTAGGATTCGCTGAAGGGTTCTGCTGATGTCTAAGGCAGGAGCTCGTTTCCGGGTGCCAATCTTAGGTGTGTCCATCACGTCACCAACAACCATCGTGATGTTTTCTACAGTCCTTGCAGTTCGTCTTCTGCCGACTCTTCGCCGATCGTGTGCAGAAAACGTAAAATTGATCTTGTGATGAATGTCAAAGCAGCTTTTACGGCAAGGGGGTGGTCGGTTGAATTTCATCTGAAATTGTCGTTTAATCTGAGGGTAGAACTCCCCATTTTCTTTCTTCAGGTAGACGAACAATCGTTGTTCTGCAGTAAAGGGAGGATAGTGAACCATTTTCGATGTTTCAATGGATGGTTCATTCCTTTTTATTGATTGTAAGGAACCTGTGACTAGCAGGGCTAACAAGCCCTGAAATGGTGACACCACCATAAATTCGTGTGATAGCGTTTTAGCAGTCAGCTGTATAGGCCGGCCCATAAGCAGGCTGCAACCAATCAAGCGGTGCATGTGAGCCATTAGCCAAGTGACGAGATCACTGACTGAGTGCTCGGATCACGTATCCGATGAGTTTTGAAATGGTCATAACTTAGCCATATTTTAACCAATGAACTTGAAACTTTGGGAAAGGTTTTCAATTATCAAGCCAAATGTGTGCAAAAAATTTTGAGTTCTTAGCTTAAAGCGTTCTCATTTTATGAAGACAATAGTGAAAAAGAGGGAGTGTCACGCCACGCCCACTGTAATTGGGCGTGGCTTACGAAACTTTCAAGAAATCTAAGTTTGACCCATGTCTATAATCTCTGAAATTTTGGTGCAATTTGGAGACGAATTACGTGAGTTATTAAGAGGTTGCGTGTGGGTAGTCACTTATGGGCCACCCTGTACTTTGAAACGTCGTTTATCCTAACAGTGCAATATCATTTGTCGCAAATCAGAATAATCAGAAACTATTTGGAAAACCCAAAAACTGTCTATATAATTAATACGTAGAATCTAGTTAATTGTAATAACATACACCATTGATAGCTTCGTGATATTTTCTAGCAAATATTAGAAACTGACTGGAAATCCGGTGCTTTCCCTTTCAAATGGCAAAAGCGAGAAGATCTTAATATCGTCAATTAATGATAATTTAATTTAATTTTAAGTTATTACTAAACAACTCCAGGAACGAAGACGATGCTGTATAAAGACTATACGAAGGTTCAACAGGAAGAAAGAGAGGATATCAGCTTCAACCAATCAATGAGAATTGAAGGTTAGTAAAAAATTACCCTTTTTAAAGTGCGTTTTCGTGATAACACTTCTATTGTGCTGAATTCCTAAAATTCGATTGCTGTTTAAAACACACATTGCTATTATCTAACTTATTTTGAACTTGACTGTGATCAAATTTTGAACATGAACTGTGCTGATCACCATAAATTACATGTACAATACCAGAAATAATGTGTCACTCGGCAATAAAATCACCATTTCAGATTACAGAAACGAACTTCATGGCATTGATAAGTGATGAATACCCTGAAAAAGAAACAAAACTCCATCACTGTGAGACATATTTGTGTTTGTAAACATTTGTTAACATTATTCAATGTTAAATACATATTATTTATAAATATGTATTTAACATTAAACAAAATTCAAAATCTATACAAAGATTTAACAAAGTTTTGATGTTTTGCTATTACATTATATTATAACAATTTATTTCAGACCCTTTCTCAGCAGGAACGAACCTTTCAACTGAAAAAAACAAAATGTGAACTCTTTGTAAACCTTGTTAGGCAGCTGTTAATAGTAAGTACAAGAAGTGAAATATATTCTTCTCGTTTAAATTTTTCTATAAACTGTAGAAACTGTTCAATAATTATTATTTCATGAAATGTGATCATTTCGACTTTTACGTTCCGAACACGAAATGTGGTGTTTACCAAAAACTACATAATACCAGATTTTTGTCACTCGACCATTTCAGAATCCAGGAACGAGCCTCATGATATTGAAACGAAGATCACAAGAAAAGACACAGACTTCCGCCACTGTAAGATACTGCTGTAACCAGAAATTTTAAGCTATCTTAATGAACAATTTGACTAGTAATAGTATCAACCTACTACTGAAGATGGTAAACATTGTACACCGTACCGAACAGTAGAACCGGTGTCCCTTTTAACATTTTAAGAAATGCACAACCGATTGATAAATGGAACCGGATTAATCATTTTAAACGTTTTCATAAATAGATAAATCTGCATGTATTGCTATTATATCACATTATAACAATGTATTTCAGACCCTTACTCAGTAGGAACGAACCTTTCAACTGATAAAACAAAATGTGAACCCTTTGTAAACCTTTTTAGCCAGCTGTGATAGTAAGTACAAAAAGTGAAAAATATTCTTCTCGTTTAAATTTTTCTACAAACTGTTCAATAATTATTATTTCATGAAATGTGATCATTTCTACTTTTACGTTCCAAACACGAACTGTGGTGTTTACCAAAGACTTTACCGCATAGTATGTTTGTGTTTCACTGATTTGTAAACTGAAGACGTAAATATATATAATACCAGATTTTTGTCACTCGACCATTTCAGAATCCAGGAACGAGCCTCATGATATTGAAACAAAGATCACGAGAAAAGACACAGACCTCCGCCACTGTGAGATACTGCTGTAACCAGACATTTTAAGCTATCTTAATGAACAATTTGACTAGTAATAGTATCAACATACCACTGAAGATGGTAAACATTGTACACGTACCGAACAGTAGAACCGGTGTCCCTTTTAACATTTTAAGAAATGCAACCGATTGATAAATGGAATCGGATTTTTTTGAGAGATATAACTTTAAATCATATTGAACGTTTTTATAAATCGGCATTCAACGAGAAATTTTGAGATTTATTTTGAAATTTAAAAAATAAATGTTGTGTGAAGTGTGATTATTTTTCTTTAAGTGTATATTATTACTTACCATTTTTAACTGGTGTTTTTTTAAATAAGAAATTTAAATACATTTTTACTTTACAATTTACATTACTTTTTTAAAGTAATAATTTAAAAGCACATAGTTTTCTTACTTTTGACTTTTCAGTTTTACATTACTTCGTTGGTAATGACTATGATTTGTTTCAAACAGATGCAATAATTAAATGTGTAATATCACAACTCTCTTTCGAATAAAACATTTCAGCAAGGCCTTAAAATAATACATCATATATATATGATAAACAAATAAATAATTGAACAAGGTACTGTAAGTGCTTCTAAACTCACCATTTAAACAAAATGCCACTATAAGATCCAAAATTAGTGGCTCACGACATGAACTTATTGGCCAAAATTAAAGAGTGAGAAAATATTCTGTTTAAATCATTTATGGCAGAAAGCGACCACAATGTTGTGTAATTTACTATTTGATAATGTCAACGAAATACTATTTAGATTATTATGCTAATTATTTTTAATTTACTAATTTTGTTAATTATAATAATTTTGCTAATTATAATAATTTTGCTAATTATGTTGATTTTGATAATTATACTTATTCTGATAATTTCACCTGATTTTTTTGTGAAACTTGGTTTCGAGATAGCAGTTGACCAACAAACTAGGACCGCGGTGACCGAACTTTTGAGGGAGTCCCGGACCCCAACAGCCAAACGGTGCCCGCAGGGCAGCCACGCCCATATTTGGTCCAAATTAGGCCCAATTTAGCCAAATACCCTGAATATGCCTGGTGTCAAGTCCTTCAATGACTGACGCCGTGCTCCTTGTGTACCTCATTGTTCCAGCTTCGACAACAGTAATATATTCGGGTAGAGATATACTTACCAAATCATTTACTATTTTATAGAAGAGCGTAATTGAATTATGGATGAACTTAGATCTAATAGGTAGAATTTTAAGCTCCTTCTGCTTCTCATAGAATACAATATCACTATAGTGATCAAACTGTTGTCCATTGATCCATTTGATCGCTCTGATCGCTTTGATCAACTGCTATCTTAAAGTTTAGCTCTACTCTCTTTCCCTCTTTGGTAGTTTTGTCTTTAGAATGACCGGCTACAGCTTTCAGTAGGGAAGCTGTATAAATAATTGGGGGGAACATTTAAAACAACGTAAATTAGGAGTTATCTACAAATCTCCAGAAAAGTCATTTTGGGCCGATCAAAAGTTTGCAACTTTAACTTTGCAGATTCCTTACTATGATTGGCTGAATTGTGTCACGTGCTGGCTGCTTGAAGATTGGAATGCGCCCCGCGTGCAAATCATGCTTAATGTCGCGCGCGAGGTCAAACCGTCTGTTTAAATTAAACCACCTCTAGTACCACCCGAGCGTACTAAATCACTCTACAGTCGATCTTCGAGATTGTACTAAAAGGGCCCCCGACAGTTGAAACCAACTTCAATCGATGTATTTTCGGACGCTGATTCCGAATCACCCCCCATGACATAGGGTTAAAATGCTCCCCTGACGAGATACAGGCGAAAAACTGTCTCGATCACGTGATATGACCGTATAAGGAAGTTAGTCTAGTTTCTCGTTAGGGTTAGAGTTTCAGCATGTGCTTTTGTTAAGGATTGGGTTAGGGTTAGGGTTGGGGTCAGATAAGAGGGTTAGGGTTTCGAATAGTCGTTCAGGACCAGCTAGAGAACGGGTTGAAAAAGTCACGTGACAGTCGAGTGTAGAGTGATTAATTATCATCCAGTACCACCACCAGCCAGTAACTTTTGCTGGGAGTTCTTTAAATGAGATCATTCTGGAAATTGGCGACGACCTTCCAATAGGACTTTCACAACTGTCCGAAAAATTTGATGGATATCGGAGTTGATATAGTGATCAAAATGGGGCAAAATACGGTGCTTTTAGCTGTAACATAATGCATCTGATGGTTGGATATGCTTTAAATTTTTCGGACACTTTCCTTGTAAGTCTATGAGTAAGCTTACCAATTTTTGTTGCAATTGGAGGTTGGGAAGGATACTCAATATTTGGAGGACTTCGCCGCTTCGACGCGCCGCGCGAACTAGCATTTTTGCTTCGCGTCGTCGATCGTTGCTCTGCTTCGCAAAGAAACGATCTCGACGGATTGACATCGTCAATCAACTCAGTATCTATTTGTTTGAAGAAAACTGTGCTGGCCGAAATTAGCTACAGTCGGCACGCGCGGCTCACTGTCGATGGCGCACTACCTAGTTAAACTAAAAATACTCTTGCACAATTGTAACTGCAGTTTTACAGAACTCTAAATACTTAATGAACACACTTGCACTTGCAGTTGATTGACGATGTCAACCCTTCCTAGCTCGGCGCGACCCAGTGGTGCATCTCGCCGATCTACGGAAGGTTGCGAGAAGCATTATTGGATGCGCGCGCGACCCAGTAGTGCATCGCGCTACAACATGGGTGTTTCTAACAACATGGGTGTTTAAGCATGTTTCTAACCTATGCAAAGGTTAGACTAGCCATCTCTACAACAAAGGAAAGGCTCTAATAGCCTCTACTATCCTTAGAACCGCAGCATAACCGCTTTTCCCACAGGCAAATAACACCTTCCGCAGGAAACTAACACGCCCACATGACGTGTGACCCCAGGATTTGGTTTTGGATCAGACACTCAAAACAACGATAGAGGAGCGGTCTACACGCTCACAGTCTACCAAGTCTCGTGTAAACTGTAACCCTAGGACTCTAACACTTAACAGACTCTAACACGCTCACAGGCTTCCACGCGTCTCGTGTACCCTAGGATTTGGTCTCGGATCGGACACTCAAAACAACAATAGAGGAACGGTCTACACGCTCACAGGCTACCATGTATCGTGTAACCCCAGGATTTGACACGTTCACACTTCACAGGCTACCACGTCTCGTGTAACCCCAGGATTTAACACGCTCACAGGCTACCACGTCTCGTGTAACCCTAGGACTCTAACACTTAACAGACTCTAACACGCTCACAGGCTTCCACGTCTCGTGTACCCTAGGATTTGGTTTTGGATCGGACACTCAAAACAACGATAGAGGAGCGGTCTACACGCTCACAGGCTACCATGTCTCGTGTAACCCCAGGATTTTACACGTTCACAGGCTACCACGTCTCGTGTAACCCCAGGATTTAACACGCTCACAGGCTACCAAGTCTCGTGTAACCTTAGGACTCTAACACTTAACAGACTCTAACACGCTCACAGGCTTCCACGTCTCGTGTACCCTAGGATTTGGTTTTGGATCGGACACTCAAAACAACGATAGAGGAGCGGTCTACACGCTCACAGGCTACCATGTCTCGTGTAACCCTAAGACTCTAACACTTAACAGACTCTAACACGCTCACAGGCTTCCACGTCTCGTGTACCCTAGGATTTGGTTTTGGATCGGACACTCAAAACAACGATAGAGGAGCGGTATACAGTGACGTTACAGGAACATTGCATACTCCTACGAGTTGTTGTATCACGCGGTGACCCCCACTGCCGCTTCACTATAGTGACGACGCTACAGGGGGAGCCGCGCACTTCGTGCGCGGCGGGTCATACAACGTATGACAAACGAGTTGCACGTAGCAGGCCATGACCTCCCCTGGAAGTCCCTGTCTCTCCGTCGTTAACCCGGCGGGGTTGCACCAGGGGCAGTGGTAACAGAACTTCAAGACTCTCGGAGTCTGTTGTCGATATTTATGTTTAATTGTTAATATATTTATGGTATATAATTTGGGAGTCTCTCTCTCCGGCAGCAGGAGTTGGAGAATGGGGACGAGTTGTGAAAGCCACCGTAAGGAAGGCTTACTGTCGACGCGACGCCGACCTTGTAGGTTTACAACCTACCAGGACGCGCGCCGAGTTGGACTCGTCGACGACTCGACGGTCCTGGAACAGGACCGTCGTTTATATGGAACAGATATTTTACGAGTATCACCCGTTAACGCCGACCAATCAAAAGAAGAACGATGGTCAATGTCAAATGTCAATCCTTCGCAGTTCGGCTTGGACATTGCTCTATCCAGAGCCCTTGCGCTTGCAGTAGCGCGCGCCCGCAGTGGCGCGAAAGCACATGGTTAGATGAAGCTTGGACATGGCTCAGTGGACAATCATGGTACATCGCGCGT